TTCAATATCCCGAAATGCGTTGGTTTCGCGTATAAACATAGCGGTCGAGAAGAACAGTACGATAAATATTGCTGTCTTCTTTCAAGGTTACGATACATAATCGATCATCTATTATCTGCATTTCCTGCCACTGCAAAGCGTGTCATCCACCTGTGAAGGGAGAGAGAAGTTGAAAGCTTATTCTTGTAGTAAATAGCTAAGCGTGGCGACGTGTCACGCACTACCACGCATACCATTTTCCACTCTCCGTGGAAAATAATTTATATTGTGACGGAACTGAACTGCAATAAGTTCTTTGTCATTTTCCAAGTTTTATTTGTTTGCAAATCTAGTAAATTCACAAGAAAACGACCCAGAAGTAAGTACTTTATTATATTTTGCAAATCGTGCATGCTTTATAGTTCGTTGTAACAGAAATTGAAAACTGTAAGTACTTTTTTTGTATTCCAGCATTATGAATGATCTTTCCTGTTGTAAGAAATCGTTCATAATCGGTCATTTTACGGCACAAATGATGACTTATTAGATTTTACGGCAGAATGATTGCGTCATCACACTTTCAGCCAATCGCAGCGTGAGAATCAGGGGGAGGTAAAGGTAAACCGAACAGCCAACCACCTTTTTCGCACACAGACGCCAATACCCGAGATGTCACAAGAACGTTGCTTCGAAAAATTAAGTTTGATTCACTTATAAATTTATAATGCTGTAATACAAAACCTAGTGTGTACAACTCATTTATAATATTTCTTTAATAATTCTTGCTTTTATAATATTCGCAAATTTGAAACCTCGCTTCTAACGTCACTTGTTTTCAAAACATGTACTCATGCAATGATGATTGACATAATAAACTAATTTCATAAACTACTATTAACTAATTAATATTATATATAACACTATAATATTGAATAAACTACTATTAATAAGTTAGATCCTTTGATTTTATATTCCGTAAAATATGGTGACTTATTGCCAAGAAACCTTCGTTTTGGCCATTAGATCCCTTCTATATTGCGTATTATGCTCCAGATTGTTTCTTTTACTTTTGATAATATTTTCCACCAATTGTGGGGTCACCCACAATTTTCTGTCATTACTGGGAGGGAGTGAACTTTTTAGAAAATGGAACTACATGAGGGGTGACTTACTGCCTCTATCTTTTCCCACGTATAAGGCAGTAACGTGACGTTGCACTAATACCTCTTATATTATTTATGTAAATCATATTTATGTTGTTCGCATACGAAACAATTTCATTTTCTGACGTAAACAAAAAACTTCAAAAAAGATTGAAATAAACACTTTTGTAGATAAGTTTGTCTTGAAAATAGTTTTATTTATCGGTCAAAGCACAATTTAAAAGGAATGAAACTCTTGTAAATTTTAGGATTACTTTGTACAAAACATTGTTGTAAACATTTTACAATTTTAAATCAACACACAAGCAAGCAACCGTTAACTTCGGTAGATATTTTCTAATGGCTATAATTTGGTTTAATCGACAGTAAGTTCACTTTGCCCTTCTATCGTGCGTTCAAGACATAAATTTTCCAATATGTATATACGTATTGTAGCGTCACGGCTTGGCAGCAGCAAGCCGAGTGCAAGGTAGAGGGCTGGAGGATCTGAAAATAGACGCGCAAACAAAGAAGGGACTTTCCGACAGGAAATGATCCGCGGGCCAGGCAGCGCCAGGAGAAGGCTCTTTCCACCGCGCGGGGGTGGGGAGTAGTGACGTAGGAGGTCAGGTGACCTGGACCTATAAAGACGGCGCGAACGGGTAACGTTTCTGGTTTCCTCGTGGCTAGACCACAAAAACTTTGTCCGCCCAGGCTGGTGCGGAGTGCCGAGGGCACGTGGTTGTTCGACGAGTTCGGACAGGGTGATGTGTTCTTCAAACACATTCGGGCAGATCGTCAATCTGCCGGGGCACACCAGGTGCCAATTTGCGAGGCGGCAAAACAGGAAGGTCGCAGGCGTCGCCGCAAGGCGCATGTAGGGAGAGGAGAGCTGCAGTGGTAGCTCTGGCAAACCGCCTTAGAGTGAGAATTGTAAATATGTACATTGTGTAAATAAAACTTGTATATACTCACTCGTGTCTGTTTCCTTGTGGTGTAGAGCACTACACACGACGTTACAGTATGTATTATATTTTTGCTGGTCCAGCACTTCTCGATATTACTCCACCTGTTCGTAGAGATCCAGAATCTGCAAATGTATGTCAGTATGTCAATCATAAATGTGTATGAAAGGGACAAAGAGAGGCAGAGAGAGACGCACAGAACCCGTCAGTCAGGACCAGAGGAAGAGAGATGGAGAAGGAAGGAGAAAGAGGGAGATGAAGGGCAGAATAACTTCTGCCTATTTCTGCTAGTAGAAAGTAGTATTACAAAATTTAGAAAAATGTAAAAATCTTTATATTTAAAACACTAAGGATTTTTTATTAGGAAGATGTGGGAGCTTTCTAAACAATAAAGTATCGTGTTTTTTTCTATAAATGAACGGTTATAGGATTCACATGTTAAATCGCATGCTATTATTAACAGGTTTCATAGTATAATTTTAAAACAGCATAACTTATGTTAAAAACAAAATTAATAGAATCATCACTTCCTGCTATCATTTTTACTTTTCTGTGTACTTAGGTGTATACGGAGTAATATACGCAGTAAAGAAAAATTTATGTAATGCTGCGCAAAAAGGCGGCGATTTTTCCACGGAAAAATTAATTGTGGAACTCTTACTCGGAATCAATTGATAAAACCTCTTCTAATATTACAATTAGATTAGACTAAATTAATATTAGGCAAATAGAGACGGAGGAACAAAGAGAGGGAGGGGGAGAGAGACGGAGGGAGAGAGAGAATACGAGAATACGGAAATGAATTTCCTTTCACGGAAAATGAGCTAAATACGTAGAGGATCTATGGAGTTGCCGGGATTAGACGGCCGTGAGTGCACATTTCCAAGAAGCGTATAGCACTCTCATCGAGTCGTTCGCTGCGTCTGAGCTGCGGTGATCAGCATTATGTCTTCAAAAATATCGAGAAGACGATAATTTTTATATCAGAAACTATAATAAGCCAAGTAACCCTGAGGTGCAACAGAAGATACGTGTCGACGTCATGTCTCTCTCTCTCCCTCTCCCTCTCTCTCTCTCTCTCTCTCTCCCTCTCTCTCGCTCGCTTTCTCTCGCTCTCTCGCACACTCTCTCTCTCTCTCTCTCTCTCTCATATATATATTATATAAACTATAAATAAATTTTTCTGAATACACAAAATGTTCCTGTGGGAAAATAACTTCAAATTTCGCATAAAATACAGTAAATAGCGTAAACGATTTTTTTAAAACGCGCCTTCTTATTTCCATCGAAAATTTCCAAATAAGACAAGATTTTACTCTTCTTTAATATTTTAAAAGTAATATTTGAAATCTACCACTAGGAAACCAAAAAATTGAGAAAACGTCGAAAAATGTATTGTGGGCAGCTTACAAGAGGATGGGGCAAAACCGTAAAGCTAGCCCACACCAAGTAGAACTTTCCTACCAGAAAGTCTGTGCCATTGTGTTACATGACTTTCTTAATTTCAATATGTGAGTTTCAGCATGAATATAGAAAATAAATGTAGAACATTAAATTATGTCACGCCTTTTTTTAAACGGCAGTGTAATTGTTGAGAAATAACTTTAAGAGGAAAAAAAGCTTTGGTATGCTGCGTACTTCCACTAGTTTTAATTTGAAAAACATAAACAACTTTTTGTTTCCAACTTAAAAATCATAAAAGGTTTAACTTTTTCAAAAATGTCAGCGCCAACTTCAAACTCAGCATGGATACTCTAATCATTTCGTGATAATTTAGCTTGACTGTCAACGGTGTGTGTAATGGATGTACTGAATCCATACAGAACCTAGAATCTAGAACACAGGTATTTACTAGGCTGTCCGGGTGACGCCGCGTCCATGGCGAAGGTGCCTTTGGCACCTCCGCCATGGACGCGGAGTCACCCGGACAGCCTAGTAAATACTGACTTCGGCCGCGGAAGCCTACGCTCTCAATAGAACACAGGTATTAGCATTCACAAGGTTCGAGAATACTCTGTGCAACAATGGGCCGAGATATAACTGTGCCATGTTGGCAGATTTCAAAGATACTCTTCACTGGAAATACTAGTTTCCTCAGATGAGCGGTACGTATCATGATATAATGTAGTCTTTTCGGCACTTACAGCAGCTGGGAAGAGGCTGGTGAAAAACCAAAAAAGGTAGTCCAGTTTTGTGAGAAAACGAAAGTATTCGAAAAAATCGGTGCAATTCTCAGACACCATAAGTTTCCTATATTACATTATTCTTACAATTTCGAATAAATAAAAATTAAGTCATTTCAAAGGTGGAGTGAATTAATGGAATTATTTTTATTTCTTACTGATACGTTGTTGCTTGTTATTGTCTTCGATACGGCCCTCGATAATCACTACATAACTTACGTGGATAGAGGGGATCGTGATGACGAATGAAATATGAAAACAGTTGAATGTTGCTACATGTTCTCTTATGGAGAGAAATATGAAATGACAAACGGAGTCAAGTTACGAATTACTAAATAAGTAAATATGAATAATTAAAATTTGGTAAAAAATGAAATCATGTATGTACCACGGGCGTTAACTGTTTCTAATGATCGACCAGCGACAAAAAATACCGAGTTTCTTTAACCTATAAGTTATAATTCTTATAACGCCCTTGGAGTATAAATAACTATTGTAAAATTAAGCATCTTGGATATTTGCTACTCTTATATACAATAATAATAATAATAATAATAATAATAATAATAATAATAATAATAATAATAATAATAATGATAATAATTAAAAAAGGCTTGAAACAGCTCTCATCGCTCATTTAATGATCGTCTCATCCAGATACTATTATATTTAACTAATATATTATAATATATTATATTACTATTTTATTTACAGAAAGATTTTTTTTCTAGAATCAACGAGACCCATGCCATCGTGGAAGACTTTATTGGCTGCCAGTCTACGGCTCACAATTTATAAGGACATGGAACAAGTGGCGACGTTCGCGAGAACATCTGTTGAGGCAGTTTTCAATGCCTACGATGACATCCAGTGCTTTGCTGTGTTCACTCGAACGAACAGTGACGACACGCTGCTCTTTTTGAAGTATATATCGCAGCAAATTCACTTCAGTTTTGTGATGGAATCGGGAGGGCGCAGAGGTGACTGCCCAGGATTAATGATGATTGGAAAAAGCTGGAAATCTATAGTGGCCATATGGCATATTCGTAGACTTGAGACATTGCTGACGTCTTCAGTTGATGACAGAACGCAGACGTTAACAAAAAAATACATTCCATTATTGGCGGTGAGTTCTGAACTTTTCTTTATTCGGCTACTATTACCAACCCATATTTTCCCATGTGTACACTGTGACTTTACTCCGTGACCCTGCAATTCGATCTGAATTTCCTTCTTGCATGCTGGGAGAAAAACCGTCATTTTCGCATAAAAACTAGATTTGTGGGTCACTGAAATCGAAAATGTGGATTATACTTGTTCCTTCAAGTAAATTGCTTCATTTAACCTGTTGAGTAATGAGAATCCACGTTTTGCGAATCCTTGAAAGCAAAAAAATAGTTTACGATTGAAAACGTCTGTCTGTGTCTGCTTTTTTTTTTTTTATTTAACGACGGGGGAAATGCATTTACGCACCCTCGGCCCAGACTCGTGTGGGACTCATCCGTAGATAATACCCACTAAAACCCTACGTCCCTCGCCCCCACCTACCGAACCGCCGTCAGGCATTACTTCGTTAGGTGGGGTGGCGGGGCTATTCTAGCCCTCCTCCTTTACGCCTTTATGGCTTCACGTTTCTTCCCACTCATCAATCTAGTTTCAATTCAATGTCTTGTGTCGTATGTCTGTCTGTGTCTTCTGTGTCTGTCTGTGTCTGTCTGTGCTGTCGTGTCTGTCTTGTCGTCATGTGTCTGTCTGTGTCTGTCGGTCTTCTGTGTCCTGTCTGTGTTGTCTGTCTGTGTCTGTCTGTCGTGTCTGTCTGTCGTTTGTCTGTCTGTCTGGTCTGGCTGTCTGTGTGTCTGTCTGTGTGCTGTCTCGTGTCTGTACTTGTCTGTCGTCTGTGTGTCGGTTGTGTCTGTCTTTGTCTGTCATGTCTGTGTCTGTCTGTCTGTGTCTGTCTGTCTGTGAGCTGATGTCGTCTGTCTGTCGGTGTCTGTTTGTCGTCACTGTGTCTGTCTGTCTGTGTCTTGTCTATGTGTCTGTCTGTCTTCGTCTGTCTGTCTGTGTCTGTCTGTTGTGTCTGTTTGTCTGTGTCTGTTCGTCTGTTCTGTTTGTCTGTTCTGTCGTGTCTGTGTCTGTTTGTCTGTGTCTGTCTTCAGTCGTCTTCTGTCGTCCAGTGTCTGTTCGTGTCTGTCTAGTGTCTGTCGTCTGTTGTGTCTGTCTGTCTTGTCTAGTGTCTGTCTGATCTGTCGTCTGTGTCTGTCATGTGTCTGTTAGTTTCTGTCCTGTCTGTGTCTGTCTGTCTGTCTGTGTCTGCAGTGTCGTGTCTTGTCTGTCTGTCTGCTGCTGTCTGTCAGTGTCTGTCTGTCTGTGTCTGTCTGTCTGTCTGTGTCTGTCAGTGTCTGTCTGTCCGTCTATGCTAATGGAAAGTCCTAACTGTTGAGATAGTGTTCTGCAAAACTGACAGTCCGCCCAAGCAAATTTGAAATGGATTATGGAGAGTGCATTGCATACATTCACAGCGCATTTTTTTAAAATTTTCTGAAAAATGGATTATGGAATGGAACTTTTGATTAAACGTTTGTTGGATATAGCGCAGGACGCTTAAAAACGGCATGCATTTAATTTTCAATGAACCCATTGAATTTCTAAAAATTACAAAAGTTCAGTTTTTTTGGCCTTTTTACTGTGAATGATTTTTTATTATGGACATGTCAACTGCTGTCATTAGTCCCGTAAGGATAGCGCATGTTTTCATCGGAAGATATGGTTATCTTTCCCCGCTGGCGAAATGCGGCGCTGGCGTACGTTGGTTTGCGAAAATTTCCTCCAACAGATGTGTTCCGCCAGCGTGGCTCCGCCTCAGCCCGGGCAATCTTGAAGCTCCCGGTATGTGTGTCAATGTAGTGCTTGTTAGTGTAAGTGTGTGAAAGGGTAAGGTAGGGACAAGGAAGAGAAAAGAAAGAGCTTGCGCGGTCCGTGACCCATTTATATGGGTACTGCTCCAGCATTCGCCTGGTGTTGAGCGGAGAAACCACGGCAGCTCATTTTTGTGTTGTTTTTTTAAATTGCAAAAAGGAACTGCGTGCTGTTGTAGCACCACTAGTTTTGTGAGCGATGCACTGTTACACTAGTTTATATACACTGCCTCTGTATCAATATAAATAAGTTGGTAGGGTATTGGTTAGGGTAACAGTCTGTTTCGTCCCCGATAATACTAGGGGTGCGACGCGTTATCACTGTTCGAAAAGAGAGTGGTAGATCTTCCCAACTTGGAATCCAAGCTCAGGAAATCCCTTTGCAAAGCAATAAATATTTTCACCGGAGTATCGCAGACACATCTCCCTTGGACGTGAACGGTAAGTGGATTTCGGTGGCAGAAGTATAGCCCTTATTCTCTCTCCTCGTCTTCCCTCACACTCTCTCTATCCCTCTTCCTCTCTGTCTGTGTCTGTCTCTCTGCTTCTATGTTCCTCTCTTTTTGTCTTTGGTGCCAGGTGGTGCATAACGATGCGTATGCTGAGACGAGGGAGCTTCCTAGCTTTTTCATGCGGAGCTCGGCGCTGGGCATGGAGGCCATAATGCGCGTCGTGGAGGTGGCAGGCCCCGCCCCCTTCCGCGCCTTTTGGGGAGACCAGACCTCGGCCCGCTTCGTGCCCCTGGATCGGCGGCTGGCCACCGCGCAACGGGGCCAGGCCGCCGTCCGCCAGCGCTGGCCGGACATTCGCGGAGGCGAGTTCCGCATGGCGGTGACTCACCTCCCGCCCTTCATGTTCAGTGAGTGATTCCTCGGGGCTTTGGCTGGGCGATTGAAGCAGGAAATTACCCACACCGTCAGTGTTGCCATATCGGAGGAATTCCCGCCGTTTTCAGCGGATTTTGAACTCGTACGGCGGAAAAAAAATTAGTTTTGCGAACAACGGAATAAACGGCGGAAATTAATAAAGTTAGTAAAGCAGTAAAACTAGTAAAGCATCAGTTTTCGTTAACCTTTATAAATAAGTTATTTTCCACAGATGTGTATTTTTAAAATTTCTAAATTCATGTTACTAGCAAGAATAAATAGTGTAATACTAATATAATAAATTATATAATACGTGAAATCAATTGTTATTATTTTGCACCCAGGTAATGCATTCTATAGTATCTAAAAATTGAATTGAAGGTTCAATAAAGCCATTATATTTTGCAATCATATTTTTTAACAAAAGCAATTAATACAACATTTAAATATGGAAAAATAATTTATTTTACGTTTAGCGGATTTAGGCGGAAAATTTAAAATCAGTTCAGCGGATTTTCGGCGGAAACTGAAAGGAACTTGGCGGAATCCCTCTAAACACATCTGGCAACACTGCGCATCATTGCGCTCGTGCGTAAAGTTATCAAGCGCTGCAACATGTCATTAGTACATCAGTGGTATTTTCACTCGTACTGAGCGCTGTTTCAAAAATTTCTTACACTTTTTTTGCGAATAAGGAGCATTCTAATACAATACAATTCGTATATGACAATTGTTGGTTGTGTTTATAGCCAAAAGTGTTGAAATGTTAATGGTAGAAACAATTAAGTGAGCATTTCCAATAATCGGCCGCGTGTTGACAGAAACAATTGATCCTTTCATAGGGAACTATACAGTAACCTTTTTAACACCTGTTAGTACATAGCTACTTTAAGCATGTGCTAAATAGCATTATACAGTTATAAATATGCGTCTAATAGAATAATGGTTTCAAAGCTCGCTTTACTTTATTCCATGACTAAAATTAACCCCAGTGTCAGTTTCACATATCCTGCTAATCTCTAGTAAGATAATACGTAATGAACTAACAACATTCAAACAGATTTCACTGTACAGTGTGTTTTTCTGTTGTCTCAAGCGGATCATCCTGTACAATAATACGATTTCATCATTTGAATAATCACATTTATTTCGAAAATTACGAATTACTCGAGACGATTTTAAAACCCTAATTGTTCTACAGACGATGGTGACGGGGTTGAAATGAAAATCGTGAAGACTCTAGCAGACGTTTTGAATGGGAATGTGTCCTTCGTACCAATTGAAGAAGGCAAAAACTTTTGGCAAGATTCGATTTTTATGACGAGCGCCCGTCGTACGAACGTTACCGGGGGCGTCGCATTGAATCTGAACGTGTCGCGCCAACTGGACTTCGGCGTTCCCTGGAGCACGGGCTGCACGACGCTGCTGGCGCCGCGGCCGCAGCCTTCGTACGGCGACGCGGCGGCGCTGCTGCGGCCGCTGGCGCCGGCGGTGTGGTTGGCGCTGCTGTTGGCGCTGCTGGCGACGGGGCTGGCGCTGCTGGCGGTGGCGCGTCTGCAGCCTAGCGCCCGGCGCCACCCTCTGCACATCGCCCAGCAGCCGGGTAAGCCGGGCTCTTGCATGTTGATCGAAGGGATGACAACAGATACGAAACTACGCAAAATTAACCACTTCGTTATTACTTCTTCGCTATCGTTTACGCAGTAGAGAGAAAGTTATGTAACACTGCGCGAAAAAACGGCGAATTTTCGGGAGAAAAACTCTTATTACAGGGCCCTAGTAACGAAAATGTGGAATTCAGTTGCTAAATTTAGAAAAAAATTCTATACCTCATGGTCCAGCAAGAATCCATTTTTTGTGGATTCTGAATACCAAAAAATCGATTGACGCAAAAAAACCAGTCCGTCCGTCTGCTGTCTGTGAATAACACTAGGGGCTAACCATTCAGACGATTTTCTCCGATATTGATATTCCCTCATAGATCTGTCTGACGACGCGGCCCCTTTAAAATCTGAATATTTTAATTCTGTGAGGTACTTTACATGAAGACCTTGGGACATTTTTTCAAAAAGATTACAATTTTTCAAAAAATGGTTCCATCGTTTTTTTATTAATTTTTTTTGTTGAATCTAGTGTGAAGGATCGTTTAGGAGAATGGTGCAGGTAGTATAAATTTCGTTTAAAATTTTGATGTTTCAAAGTTGCAAAAATTCAAAATTTTTCGGCGTCTTTCTACAACAACAATTATGAAGATAGAGAGTTTTCCCTTCACGAAATCGCAGATTACTGTATTGATGCAAGCCCGGAAGCATTGACGATGTGTTAGACGTGGATGAAACACAAAGCAGAGAGGTATTGTAGCGTCCCCTATACAGAAAGGTACACAGCGAGTAGTGAGGTCAGAGTGGACACGTGTGGATTGCATCACGATGGGCAGAAAAAGGTGAGGGCTGATTTCAAGAGCCAAAGTCCAGAGGGATGTGCCAAACTGGTACCTGATGTGTCGCAAAACCAGGCTGTTGCTTCCGGGGATAGCGGCGCATTCTCAATGAGGCCATAAATGCGGGTGTGTTGTGAAAAAATCAGCAATGTTCAGCCATGAAAAAAAGTCACCGGGAGAGGTGGCTCAGCGCATCAACTGTAGGCTGCGGGCTGTAGACAATTTCTCACAGAGTTCGACGCTGCATGGAGTTGAAATATATTATGGAAGCGCGAATGTTGATTTCCCACGTCACGCGTCGTCACCAAAAATAATTTCCCGCTGGATGTGCCAAGTCCTCCTCGCCAGGACCAAGCTAGAGAGTAGAACTGCCGCCACCGCCGTCGTCCTCGTCGTCGTGACAGATTTTCACAAGGGTGGTTTGAAGTCGAGGTAATTAAAACAGAAGCAATCAATGCTAACCATTTTCTCGCTCGGTGCATGAGAATATCTTCTCAGAATGCGAAAACTCGTATTTAGCGGTTCAGCAATTATCGCATGAAAAGTGTGAGCCCATCGAAAAGAATCCGGTGGTTGCCGAGTCAAGTCCTCGCAGATCTCTGCTAAGTATTAAGGTACCGAAATTTGATGGAAGTTATCAGAATTGGCAGCGATTTTGCGACCTGTTCACTCAGTAATCAATCAGGCCCAGATTCCTGATGCACAAAAATTAGTGCATTTAATGAGTAGTCTGGACGCTTAACCACTGAAATTTATTTTTTTCGCAGTGACCTCAAGCGACCGAAATGCTCGAAGAAAGCAGAGTCCAATTCAGTGGTGCGTCTAGTGTGAAATCTTCCAATGAGAGCTGGTTCTGATGGCGAAAGCGCGGTCGCATGTCTGCGCTGCTTGTGGCGCGAGTTCGCCACCGAGCACTATAGCAACGATACTCCACCTTTCGTTTGAGTATCTCCATTTAAACCAATGCTATGCCAGCAGAAGCATTACTCGGCAGCGCTGCTGAGTGGCGCCATGTGAAAGGGTTCTAACGGGTCTTTGTGCTGCATTTGCAGAGTAGGCGTAGCCAGGGGGAGCTCATGGGCGTGGGCGATCGTAGGCGTGGTGGCTACGTCAGACTAAAAGGTGGGGGGGGGGGCTGCTGGTGGCGTTTTCGGTCTTTTTCCACCAGTAACGCCATTCGGAAGCGCTGCTGAGGTGCGCCGTGCGAAGGGGCTCTAGTGGGTGTTGGGGCTGCGTGTGCAGTGTGCCCCAGGCCACAAGGAGCTCGAGGGCATGTGCGGACGTGGGTGGCGATGTCATGCTGAGGGTGGGAGCCTGCTGCTGGCGTTTTGAGTGCGTTAGCACCAGAAGCGTTGCTGAGTGGCGCCGTGCGAAGGGTGTCTAACGGGTCTTGGCGCTGCGTGTGCAGAGCACATAGGGCGAGGAAGAGGAGGAGCTCGAGGGCGTGTGCGTGCGTGGGCGTGGCAGCGCCGCCAGGCGAGGGCGGGCGGCAGCGGGGGGCTGCTGGAGGCGCTGGGCGTGCTGCTCGCCACCGCCAACCCCGCCCCCTTCCCCGCACCTCGGCCCACCTTGCGCCGCGCGCTGCTCTTCTGCTGGAACGTCGTGGCCATCCTACTGGTGACGGCGTACAACAGCGGGCTGCTGGCGCACCTCACCGCGCCGCACTTCCCGCCGCCCGTCGACTCCCTGCAGGAGTTCGTCGACGCGGGCTTCTATTGGGGCACCTTCACTGCCATCCCGTCACTCGACTTCTATTTCGATCACGAGGTGAGCTGTGGCAATTATTCATTGCAGACCCAATCCTTCCTCACGATATCTTTCATTAAAGATTATTTTCTATACAATATGGGCTGCACTGTTTGCTGAGCTGGAGAATATTTTACAAATGTTAAGTTTATTTTTATAATTTATTTTGTATATGTTTATGTAAGTTTTTTGACTGGAAAACTTTTAATGCCAGGTCCTGGTAACAAAATAGTGGATAAATCTTCTTCCTGAATGTTGTAAATTACTTCCTCTAGCAAGCTGTGAATTCTGAATCTATGTTTTGTGGGTCTTTGGTATCGAAACATCATTGACGGCGAAACTTCTGTCCGTCTGTTCTTTTGTTGTCAACACTAGGGTATTAACCGATCAAACGATTTTCTCGCGTCATCTAAATTTACTGGAAGCTAATCCAAAGAGTACACCGCTCTGGAAAAATGCATCACAATAAGTGATTGTTTGCGACGAGGTAAAATTTCGCCGGTCGAGCTTGGTGAGTGAGTGTGTGGCGTCATATCAGTCGCCTTGTGCAAACGACAAAATATCAGTCACGTGCACCACCTGATTTCATGCTCATGGACAGCGCTGGCGGGAAGAGACGCCGGGCTGAACAATGGCAAACCGAGGGAGCGGAAGGGAAGGGGTGCCGTGTCGTTTGTGGCCACTTGTGAACCCCGTAGACCACTTGCGGCAAACTTGCAAACCCCGTAGATAGGCTATCTGCGGAAACGCGTCGGCGGAAACAGTGAGATGACACAGTTCCGTCAGCCAGCCCAGGTAATATAAACGGACCCTGGACCTAAACTCCTTCTTCTGATTCTTGGACGCGCCGGTAGGAAGTCGTGTGGGTTGTGCGCGGCGCTGCATTTTAATGCATAGGCTACTGAGGCAGGGAACTGAAGCCGGCGTGCTACGTCGAGACGGGAGGTGCGGCATACTCGCTTGTATGCTCACGTAGGCTACTGGTGCATCACACCGAATAAGATATCTAATTATCAGGCCAGCGGTGGCGGTAACCAGGGAACATTCCTTCTTGTAACGGGTCAATATTGTTTATTGTAATTATTGTACATAGTATTCAGATGTTGGAGCATTTTTTCAAATAAATACATAATAAATTACAAACCGTACACGTCTGTGATTTATTGCCCCGGCAAAGATGCCACAACTGCTACCAACGATACTGCGGTTGTTTCATGGTCCCAAGAAGCTCTCCTACGAGAACTACTTTCCCGTAGCTCTACCACGGGTCACGCTAGCTCATTCTACGAGCACATACGTATACAGCTATGGTCTGTCACGTAAGTACGAGTTATGTAAAACTAGTTGCTTCCTACCAGTTAGGCAAGTTTTTGAAGGTTTGATACAATCCTCGCAACATATTTTGATGATCTACGCTGGACCTTTTCTACATTTCTTTGCTGCAAAATTCTGTATGGGTTCCTACATATCTCCCCATATTCTAATATCCCTCACTAATTTGCAAGACCTTTGGTACTCTTTTTCAAAATCTGCGTAAAAAAATGCCAAGGTCTCCAGGCGCTCCCTACAACGAAATTTATTTGATTTTTGCCAACACAATTTACTGTCTAGATGTATTCGTAAATACGTGCAAGGCTTGATTAGAGGATTAAAATTAATTTTAATTGAAAGAAGAAGGGAATTCATTTTAAAAACCCACATGGCTTTCATTGATTTCGAAAAGGCCTTTGACAGAGTGAATATAGAGATTCTCTGGAATATCACCCAAAGGGGATATCCACAACACCTACTTAATGCCATTCAAAGCATTTATAAAAATACTGCAATCACAATTAATAATGGCGCCAGTAAAACTTCGGAAATAATCACTACTCAGGGGGTAAGACAAGGGCGATACATAAACTAAACCATGTACGTAAGAAATATAATTTTTAAATGGCAATAAACAAGATAAAAGTTATGGTCTTTTATGGTAATCACCCTGTGAGATCAAAAATTGTAATAGAAAATGAAATTATGGAACAATTTTCATACTTCAATTACCTCGGTTGTGATGTTAGTTACAAACGAGATAATGATATAGAAAATAAGATCCAAAAATTTCAATATATTTGCGGCACAATAACTAAACATTAGGCCAAAAACTAGAGAAGATACAAAAATAAAACTTTATAAGATGATGGCCATGCCAATGCTTCTATATGGAAGTGAAAGTTGGGTAACAACTAAAAAGGATGATAGCAGAATACAAGCTGCAGAAATGAAATTTTAAGAAGAGTGAAAGGATGTACTAGATCTGACAGAATAAAAAACTATGACATTAGACAGGAATTGAAAATAGAAGCTATAAATGGGAAAATAGAGGAATACAGAGCAAGATGGAAAGCACACATAGGAAGAATGGAAAATACAAGAATACCCAAAAAATGTGTAACTATCATCCTCGTGTACAAGAAATAACGGCAGACTGAGGAAAAGATGAAAATGAATGCTTTGTTTAAAACGGAACAGGTCATGAGCCTAATCCGTAAAGTGAAGAAGAAGAAGAAACTATTTTTCAATTTGTAAGCCGTTTCATTGTAACTTCGACCCCTACGAAACGTGATGGACCTACACTTTGAACTGTTGATTTCCATGCCATTTGTTTCCGCCCAAATTTGTAATTTGTCTCTGTAAAATGTGCAAAAGATAAATATCACAAAAATAAAACAAATATAGAACAGAAAGCAATAGTGCTGTTTGTTAAAATACGTTATATCACATGATTAGAAATATTTTGAAATCGTTAAGGATTACCTTATCTTACAATTATAGTTTTAAAGTTGATCTCGACGTTCGGCGCCAAATTCTTATCCGAATTTAGGAACTCCAAATTCGTAACATTCCCGACTAGTGCTCATCCTTGCTGTACAGCATAATTATTTGAATCTCTTTCGATATTATTATTTCTAGAATTACTATTTATAACAAATGTCTTTTATAGTCCTGTTATATTCAATGTTCAACAGCAATAACATAGAAAATTATCTTAATCCATTTCCCTTCAAAACTACAATTTATTCATCATCTCAGTTTTGCTTAATTGATCGCTAAGACATTACTTCAGTAGCAACGAACACCTGCAACAGTCACTGATACGAAGCCCTCGTATTCGGCTCAGTTACCTAAATTGTTTCGAAGGATAAATATGAGTTCAAATTAACATCTCCCCAAAGCACGTCACACACAGTTATTAACTGCTTTTGACGTAAAAAATAAATAAAAAATGAATAGCTGGCTTCACATTCCACTGCGTACCTATCATATCTAAACCATGTTTCCAACTTCTTTAATTGATGTGTTATCATTCATTCCTTATTAACACATCTGTTGCACACCATTTAGAAAATAGCAGCCACCGAGTACAATATGACCACGTACTAAAATTGTAAATAATATTGAGACTCCGCAGTCCCCTACATTCATTCCAGGGAAATTCTCAAAATAATTACATTTCATTCGTGCTCATTGCTAGTAGATGACGTAAGAATGAAGAGTCGTTTATGTTTGTGTGAAGAACCCGACGCACCAGGCGGTGAAGGCGCGCTTCAAGAAGGAGAAGTCACCGCGGGACCTGGGAGAGCGCCTGGCACGCGGAGACTACGCGCAGCTGGGGAACTACATTTCGGGCGCCTTCTGCCCCCTGGGGCTGCCGCCGCCGCCCGCCGCCCTGCCCCGCCTGCGCCTGGTGCGAGAGAGCGTGCGCTGCGACGCCAACGCACTGGCCTTCCCGCACTACTCGCTCCTGCGGCCCTGGGCGGACCGTGTAGTCCTGCTGCTCGCCCAGGTGCGTGTCCACACCACCTCGGTACTGCGTCTCCTCTCCATCGCCCTTCCTGCAAAGATACACTCACCATTCTGAACGCTTATAATTGTGCTCACACAATCAACTATAGTTCTTTGACCATATGTTGACCATGTCTTGCGGCTTGCCCAGGTGCGGGATCACACAAATTCACTTAGGCGCCACCAGTGCAGAGACCTGCGACATTTTGATCGCTTAGAATCGCACTCACACCATCTACTTTGCTAATCATCCTTGACACTACGTCCACCACGACATGCTGCTCAATCAAGTGCGTGATCCACCACTATTTATGAATCTCGTGGCATGTCTATCCCTAAAATCAACTTCTCTTCATGCTGATAAGTCACAGAATCGTCCACACGCTATCCATCTTGCTCCATTCATCTTTATTCATTCTCCCCCAACCAGGCTAATCTGATCGAACAGATACCTGCTGTTACTACTTCTCACATACGGCTCTTCATATTCATCTACATCATTGGCTCGCCAGCTTTGTCTTACTTTTCGCACAGGTGTGTTTCCACAGAACTATTTTGTGTTCAACTCACTTTCTAGATCGGTTGCACCATTACCGCCGCGCAAGTACGTGCTCGCACTACTTCACTAATGTGTATCATATGCAACATTTTCTAATGAACTCTCCCTCGTCAAGGGTGGTTATTGCTTGGAGACGCATTCAGGCGGCGGCGATGGTGTAACGGTTAGCGTACTGGACTGTTGTACCGAAGTTGGCGGGTTCAAACCCGATCGAAGCCGTGGATTTTTAAGGGCGAAAAAATCCTTCGTACCCCTTCCTTCGGAAGGGAAGTAAAGCCGGCTGTCCCATGTTCGTAGATTTACTTGCATGTAAAAGATCCTCAAGCCTAAATGACGCCTCTGAGCTAAATTCAAATCGCCTGTTTCTCGCCCAAGAAATACCTCCTTTCTCTCCTAGTTGGTGAAAGGAGCGTAGCGAAATTTGCGTAGTCAGACCGAAGAGCGGGCCTGATGGCCCGAGTCTCGCCACGTAAAATAAGGCAAATTCAATTCAATTCATTCACACAAGCATGCGTTGTGAATTGAATTCTGGTTTCTTGAAGAAAGTTGCAAGGTTCACATTGCAATTTTCCTAGTTTGTGTAGGTGTGACATGGCTGCTAGCGTGTACGCAGACCTGCTTTTCTCAGCAATGCCTTCTTTCCTCTACTACAAAACATGAAGCAACCATTACATTGTAGTAACTGAATGTGTGAGGAGGGTGGCGGTCCTTGCGACGGCGGTCATGATCGAGCAGTGGCTTCTTTCCTCTAAAGCGCTATAAGAAAGGAGCGTTCAGTCCATTGACTGGGTGTGTGACGTGGGTGTGGGTGTGCGCAGGCGGGCCTGATCGAACAGTGGTTTCTTTTCTCTAAAGCGCTATAAGAAAGGATCGTTCAGTCCAATGACTGAGGGTGTGACGTGACGTAATGTGGGTGTGGTTGTGCGCAGGCGGGCCTGATCGAGCAGTGGCTTCCTTCCTCTAAAGCGCTATAAGAAAGGAGCGTTCAGTCCATTGACTGGGTGTGTGACGTGGGTGTGGGTGTGCGCAGGCGGGCCTGATCGAGCAGTGGCTTCCTTCCTCTAAAGCGCTATAAGAAAGGATCGTTCAGTCCAATGACTGGGGGTGTGACGTGACGTGACGTGGCTGTGGGTGTGCGCAGGCGGGCCTGATCGAGCAGTGGTTTCCTTCCTCTAAAGCGCTATAAGAAAGGATCGTTCAGTCCAATGACTGGGGGTGTGACGTGACGTGGGTGTGGGTGTGCGCAGGCGGGCCTGATCGAGCAGTGGCTGGAGGGCGCGGCGGCGCGCCTGGTGCAGCCGGAGCTGCTGGGCGCGGCGGAGGCGGGGGGCCCGACGCCGCTGGCGCTCGGGGAGGTGGCGGTGGTGCTGGCGCTGCTGGGGGCGGGGCTGGGCTGCGCGGGACTGGCGTTCGCGGCGGAGGCGGCTCCTGGGCCGCTGGCGCGCGCCCTCCGCCTCGCCCTGCGCTGCTTGGGGCGCCAGGCGGACGGCGGCAAGAGGAACTGGCGCTTACCCTGGCCACGGGCGCTACGACGTGGCGACAATAATGTTCTATAGCGCTTGCGGTGTATCAAGTAACATGAAAAGTTCACATCTGATCCCAACGTGTCACCGTTGATTGCTGCGTCACCTAAATGGTCGTTCCCATAGTGAATGGAACCGCCGTACATCCATTAACATTGCATAATCTTTGAAGTGAACTTTTCTTAAAATACTACTGGTCCCTTTTACGGTTTTGAAAGAACCTTTTTCTCGTCACATTATACTGCTTAATGAAGACGTTAATCACCCTGTCATTGCCAATTATAGAACGGCTATTCATTTACGTTTTTCTTTTTTATGATACACATTTCTTTTCAAATGTATAATATTTGTAATTTTACGTAAATATTGTGAAAATTGTCATTTTGAAGTCAAAGCCTAAAAGTCACACGTGCAGTGGAGTTATGATTATGTGTTATTACTAGGGAGCGGATTTTAATGAATTTTTTTTCTTTGCATTTAAGAACAATATCATTTTTAATAGAAATTCATTTCATGTCAAGATAAATCGAAATGACCCACTCTAATGTCATTTTTTCCATTTTTTCTTGATTTTTACTAATAAGTCTTTTTCATCTTTTAAGTTTGTAAGCTTAGTTCACTTGAACAATAGGAAGAAGCCTCAATTAAATCCTTAACATACCTAAGAGCTTGAGGTGTTCATCTGAAGGGGTTTTGACTAAATTTTTATATCATTTTTCTTAATTTTTAGGGCACTTTTAAAGTATTATAGGAGATTATTATTGATAATTTGTGGTAATGTTTTATGTCTTCAAATTCCGCTCCCTGGTTATCGCCTTGATACGTAGTCCAGAACACCTTATATGCATATTTCTAATATGATGATATTACATCCAGCATTTTCAAATAATCGACGTTTTATTTTTATCCTAATATTCCTAACTCCTATTCCTTCTACTGTGAAACCTAATGACAATGATGTGAACTCTGCTAACTTCCATAACCATTTCTGTCGGTGTCTTAATTTCCAATTTTTCACTTTCATGTCTAGAGTGGAAACGTCCAATCTTAGAAAATAAGCTCTTAAGACAATTTTATGCGTTTTTTGTCTAATAAACGTCTTGGATAATCCGAATAACTGAGTTCTAATAAGCACTCATAAGTTGGTAAAAAAATACTTTCTATGGAAAAATTTGCATTTTATAAAAATATAAACACTCCATAAACATTTAAATTGTTTATTATTTAAAAAGAAAATAAAACATTTTTGCATTCCATCTCGACCTCGTACATACCCTCCACTTGATCGATATACTTAAGACCCTCCACTAAATAGACCCTCTTGAGATAATCCAACTGATCGACTTTCGCGCAGATTCTCCACTCGATTGACTTGCGCATATTCTCCAGTTAATGGACTTGCGCACAGGTCTGCCCACTTGTTGACTTGTGCGCTGGTGTTCCTTCCATCGTCGTCAGCTAAAGTTCTCCTCTCAATCGTCTTACGCGCAGAGGTTGCACATGACACACTTGCGTGCGGATCCTTCACGGGGTCGATTTGCTTGAGAACTTCGAACTGATCAACCTGCTTGAGAACCTCCTCCTTGATTAACTTGTTTGAGAACATCCACTTCATCGACTAGCCTTCGAAAACTTGAACTTTTTACTATTGATTTGTACGAAGACCGCTAATTGTACGATTTACTTGAGGTACTTTTTCGAGCAACTTACTCAAGTTTGCATGTAGGATTGATTTACTCTTCTGTAATCGCTAGTCTGTCTATGAACAACAATATCGCATCGACTATTTGTAGTACATTTTTTCCAAAATTAATTATCTTCATTCAATCTGGGCCAACTCGAAGATCTACAATTTTGAACAAGTGGTGCTACAGAATGGCACAGACGATCTCGCATTCGTTTTCTAATCTTTTTAGTCTCGGCTAGCTTTCCAGTATTGCCACATCCTCTTTCATGTTCCTACCTATCGGCGTTCTAACGCAGTTCTGTCTCGATTTTTCGAAACAGAACGTGAAGAACGTGAGAAACGTAACTTCTGTAAATTTCGAATGAAATAAACGTGAAAAATGAAATAATAAACAATATCTAAGTAACGAAGCGTACAACTGCATGGAATTACGTTCACGAAGCGCAGTAAATTGGGACCGGGCGACTATGTTTGTCGCCAAATTACATAAAAATAATATTTTCAAAAACTTCAACAAAACCTAATTTGAAAATGTGTTTTTCATGAACACATTTCATTAAGGAACTGTAGTTTCATTAAGGAAAAATAATGCGGTTGTAGGAAGCCGTCGCAAAAATTTTGAATTATTTCAGTTTTCCAAATATTGGGTTTTCAACCAACATGACTCGTGTACCCTAAACGTTCTTTACCCTATCCGACAACATAAATTCATCAAAAACGATGAAGCAATTTTTCAGAAAAAAATTAACGAAATTAAAAATTCCCTATATTTTGCGCAAAATTACGCGAAAAATACTCAAATGTTTGAAAATTTGTACATGATCTTATTTCAATATCTATCTTTAAGGAACAGGTTTTATAAAAAGAAAAAATTGTATTTTCAATATTTTAGTTTTAAGAGAACGTTGAAAAATGTGACATTTTTGCTATTTGCGAAAACTCAGTTTTTCAGAAAAATTAGACCTGCACCATTCTGTATCATCCTGCACCATTCCATCTACACGTTCTTTATACTATACAACAACAAAATTTAATGAAAACGATTATGATATTTTTTATAAAATTTTGAAAATGTTCTAAGGGCTTCTTGTAAAGTACTTCTCAAAATTAAAATATCGGTTTCAAATTCAAAAACATCGATCGACATCAGTCGGATCGATTGGGGACTATATCTTTTTGAGAAAATCGGCTAAACAGATTAGCTTTATCTGCAGACAATCGGACAGACATTT